ATGCTATATGGGATTAGTGTGGATTTTCTGGGTTTATCGCCAGGAGCACACGGATTAGCACCATGATGGAGTTAAACTGAATTACTGGCTACCACATATTTTTAAAATAAGAAGTGCTTATATCAGCTCAACCTATTATCATAATAACATAACGCTAATCATCTTTTTTTTAAAAAGCTAATTATTCTTAATAAGGATTAGACTTAAACATTAATTAAACAATACTGGTATTCTGAGGCCAGTTCTTGACAATATTGTGAAAAGAATGCTTCTGATGACACAACAAGAGTTTTTGTTGGAACCAAATGAAGGGGGGGGTGGGGTAGATTAACGATGCTAAATATGTTTCCCCAGTCCGCCGTTGAACTGCCAGTAAAATATTTTGCCCATAAAAAGTCTTAAACTGTATGACAACTCGCCATTTGTCTGTAGCAGGTCGAAAAGCATTGTATCAGTGTGGCTTTCCAGTGGACAGCGGTGGATAGCTTTATGACTGCTGGGAATGTATACTGGGAGCGGGACTGTCAGGACACTGGCCTTATTTGAAAGCTGATTGGCCCCTGGAATGCTAACTCCCATGTCACTCATCAATTAAAAACATATAATTGGCTAATGATAAAGCTGGCTTCTCTGTATGAATTACACAGGTCTGCAAAAAAAAAAATCAGGTGCCCAGGTTTTTTGAATGGATTTAAGGTATTTTGAGGGTGCTGGATTCAAAAATCACATTACTTTTGCTGAATTGGTTCTAGTTTTTGAGATAATGGACATCCATGTAAATAATGCATTCCCCCAATGCGACTTGTGTGTGACGATAAATGCAATAGCTTTTGGTCTGTCTTTTGACTCTTTAACAGTGTCTTAGGTAATGAAATGAATGATGAAGCATTGAAGGAGTCTGAAAATAAAATTAGAGTAAAGTTCACATGTGCGTGTTTGCATGTTCATTTATTGCTGTTGTTACTGTGGTGGTGAATATTTACCCAGATCAAATCTGCCAGGTCCTTCCAAAGGAAGGGCATCATGGGAACACCTGTCTGGTATTTAGCCAGAAATGGTTCAAATGCTCATGACAGGGCCATGAAAAAATGTAGTTTGGCCAGAAGAAGGGGATCCATTCGGGCTTCACAAATGCAGCCAGAAGAAGATGCCCCTGGGTTTTTCACCTTTTTTGACTTCACACATATTTCACAATAGAGGGTCAGACTTCCAACGCTCGTTCGACAGTTGGCAAATTTTCGAGCCACCGATGGCCACAGACAGGTAGAGGGAATCTTGAGGATGATGTTGCAGCTGTGAAGTCCTCTCTTCCGGCTGGTGCAGAGTGGAAAAGAAAATGTAGTGCTTTGAGCACTTTCTCCACCATCCACACTTCAAAACCAGTCTTGAATGATCTGTGAAGGGTATGTGGGCCACAACTTCCGACAGTTACAACCCCTAATCAGAAAAAGTTGGGACGGTAAGTTAAATTAAAGTCAAACTGAAAACAGTACTTTGTTAAATTGTCTTTGACCTGTACGTATTTGGCAAAACCAAAGTCATATTCTTAATCAGCACCATAAACTTAATATAAAACCATTCAGATATCGTTGGCACCAAAATCACTGTATACCAATGTTATTTTCCCTCTTAGGCCCCCCTAGAATCACCCCCAACTTACCGTGACTCTGCATGGGATGGTAAGTGGTTTATAGCAGTGGTTCTTTTTTGCACCGTGACCCAATCTTTACCATGCTAGCTCAGTCGCGACCCTATATCAAGTATAGCTTTAAATTAACGCTATGATTATGCCCGCAGTGCACTCTGCAATTAACGCCAATCAACGCCTATCGCACAAATCTAATTGGATGTGCAAGTGAATTTTAAATTAAGCATCTGTGGTTTGGCTTCGTGGATTGGTTGACTGAGCAATTACAGACCCAAGACCCATCTATCTAGGCTAACTCTAGGATTGGGGCTGGGAAAACTGATTGTGGATCAGCATAGGAGCTTGCTGGTTTTAAAATGCTTACATTTCCAACTCTGACTCACGACCCTTTCAGGACTTGCCACAACCCAAATTTGGGTCGCGACCCACGGATTGAGAATCACTGGTTTAGAGTATTGTATATTTTACGGTCATGAGTTAAATCCTAAAATAAACAAGTGATTATATAATAAAGGGTCTAATCCTAAAATAAGCATTGAGTGACTAAAATAATTCCCTATGTACAGGGGAAAAAAACTGCAATTTTTAAAATACTTTTTAAAAGAATATTGCTCTCTGTTTACTTGCTTGTTTTTTAGTAACCGTAATATAGTTTGTCCATATTTTTGGGACCGGTAGAATGCATCGTCATTGATCATTTATCGATCGCTCTGTTTGTTAGCAAACATGTACTGCAAAGCACGTAACAGCAAATGAAAAAGTTCTGAATAATTCATATAAACGCCATGTCCTTGTAGTATTTCTCATCAACAGTACGTGTTTTCCAGTGTAACTTTTAAAAAGATATAAAAATGCGTCACCTTTACGCGAAGGTGCTATTAAGGGATGTGCCCTCTTCCATTTTAAATTGGCCTTGCCATTAAAAGCATCATTAAAATATTATACCTTGCACTATACGCCATCATTATGTGTAGCAGTGTTAAATATTTGGCTGTGTGTGTGTTCAGTGAGTTTTCCGTCAGGAAAGCCAGTGTCATATGACTTCATCAAATATCAAAATATATCCGAGGACTTTCATAATGCAGAATTCAGGTTCCAACGTGACATTTTGTCCTGTCAGAGAAAACAAAAAACGATATTTCAAATTACAGGAGAACAATTTACTGTCGTCCACCAAATGAAAATCTATTTACATTCTCTGCTGTAATTAAATTCTGCTGTTGCTCCTTTGTCCCCCACCTACTAGGGGAACTGCATGTTTTTTTGGAAATCGCTTGAATGCGATTGCCTATTAAAACGTCAGTCTTAGCAATAAATGATGTACATGTTAATGCCGTTACCTTCCTTTCCATTAAAGCCCCATTAAATCGCTATGGCATGCTGAGAATGGAGGAATTAGGGGAGTTCTCTGGTGCGTGAAGGTTGGAGTAAACAGATGCAGAGATGCTCTCTCTCACTCTCACTCGGAGAAACAGGCATGTTTCCCCCGCAACTGTGACTGAAAGGCTCCTCACCGGCGTCAAATGCAGTGGTTCTCCCGAGTCATTTTGTGGTTTGTCGCCTACTTGACAGGTGTGCACTGTGTAGGGAGGTACCGTGGATCCACCAGTAGGGGGCAGATACTCTGAGCTGTGAGTCTGTGGCACTTGTGTTACACCATGAGCAAAGTGTGGGTGTCTGATCTGCTCTTCCAGTGCTTAACGCCACCTGCCGGAAACGCCCTCATCTCGTTCCCCCACTTCAGCCCCTCCCCCCCTCATGACTACAAGGGCAACAGTTGGCATCTCCAGGGGCACAGCCAATTGGCATGATGGTTGGAGGATACGAATTAGCTGTTGTACCCTAGAGAAAGAGACTTAACTTGAGAGTTGGAAAAAATTAAGAAAAATAGGCAGCTGTATAAATAGGTGGGGGGGGGGGTGAGACTGTAAATTGCTTTGGTTTAAAAAAGCCTATTTTTTGAAGCTAAGTAAGAATGGGAATTGGGAGATTGAGGACAGGCCTGTCTGGATGTTTTTAGCGGGCTTCTCGCCGACGACGGCATGACTGTGAATGGCAGCTTTGAGGTGGGGTGGAGAGATGGGGGGGGGGGGGGGGGGGGGGGCACCGTGCTTTCAGGGGGGAGCCAGGGGTGCTAAAAGCCAATCAGCCAGAGTGCAGGTTCCTCCCTCCCCCTTGCTCTTTCACTTGTATAAGTGATTGACCTCTGAATGACACCCCCTCCCGACGCTCCCCGTCCCCGTCAGACAGCTGAAGCACGCAGGGATCCATAGCACCACCTCGGAAGGGTCCCGACCCCCAGCTTCATGCCGGAACCGTGCTTCCCGGCTCTGAGGTCCACTGGTGCGGAAGGTCAGTCCCAAAAGTGGACTTTAATCAAGGCTGAGATTTAAAATGCAACGGGAACATCGTATAAAGAGAGCAAAGGGTCTCCAGGAAAATATACGCTCACTTACGCAAATAATGTTCCAAGGGCAGAAGGAAAAACGACAGACAGACCCAATTGTAGAGCAGACCAATCAGATTTATTGGGCCCACCTCCACTAGTTGCTTGGACCCACCTCCTCTGCAATCTGATTGGTTATCTTTCGAACCAGTCATTTTCCCTTCGGCCCTCAGAACATTTTTACGTAGGTAAAATTCCCACTACCAAAATATACATTTTCCTGATATGAAATGGGGAGAGTACTGTGAGTTTTTTTTTTTCAAGCTTTGGGGGGAACTTTTGGCTCAGCGGGTTAACGATGCCGGTTCAAATCCCAGGGTCAGTGGAGTGGTATCACCGTTGGCCTTCAGGGTCTGGCTGACTGCCGCTTTGGATAAAAGCGTTTGCTAAATAATTACATATAAATTGTGCCTCCATTGTAATATTTCTCATACATGTGTATTTTGCTGATATCACAACAGAGAGTTTAAAACGTATTTAATTGTTGTGTTGATTCCTTGACATCTAGTGGCACACATCGTGATCAGAATGGCTGTATGGCTCAGCTGGAATCGGTTGAGTTTTGGTTTGTTTTCTTGTTTGCTTTAGTAATGTAAATGATCCATGCAGCCTGTCTGCTAAACCTGAGATCTAATTCGCTGATGCCTGGAAGGACAGATCTCTGCTCTGCGTGGCCTCAGCCTTACCTGCCGTTTTGCTGGGAGCTGCCGATCCTCAGGACTGTGCAGAGCCCAACTCTGTTAATATTTTCTAGAGAACGCTACCCTAGACTTAGGAATTAATTCCACCTGGGGAATATTACATGTTCTTCAGATGACTGATTCTTCGGATGAAGTCTACCTAGCGGGGACCTCGGCGGCTGTTCAGCAGAGACCGCTCACCTCTGCTCTGCGTTTCACTCTACAGGAAGTGGCGATACTGGGCAGGGCCTCAGGAACACCCTTATAGCAGGATGGAGTTTGAAGATGGGGCACCGTGCTGGCAGGGCCCCCCCCGCACAACGCTGGTGAGCCCCCCTATGTCTGATGGCTGTGTGTGTATCTGTACTCTTTCAGTCCTCGTGTGTGAGATCTGTGTGTTTGTACTTTTTAATTCCTCTTGTGTGGGATCTGTGTGTGTATCTATACTGTTTAATTACTCATGTGTTGGTGTCTATGTATCTATGTCATAGAAGTCTGTCTGTGTATCGGCACTGTTTATTTCTCTGCCTGTTTGGTATATATTTGTAGCTGCACAGTCTATACCAGTACTGTCTGTTTATGTACCTGTGTAGTGTGGGTGTATCGGCATTCTCTACCTGTAAAACTGGCTTTAAAATATTTAAGATGCAAATTCTGATACTTTCTAATACATATATATGGTATTTTAACTGCAGATGCTTTAAGGGCTGATTTTTGGTTTTGGGCTGTTAATGGGCTGTTTGGATGTTAATGCAGGAGTAAAAATGAAAGGCTTTGATATATCACTGGCGAGTAAATAAAACATGGGGATCATGTGACCTCACCAGCCAATCAGAAACCACGCTGCGCTTCCCATTGTCATATGGCTGCGTGCTGATTTCATGCTAATGTCAGCCACTGCTGTGCTCCAGGCTTTCCAGGAGGAGGGGAGCGGTGTGGGGGGTGGAGTCGCTTTCACGGGGGTTTTTTCTTTTAACTCATAAGGTTCATTTTTTTGTGTGGAATTTGTTCCATTAAATAATGTAACACATTTAATGTTCTCATTTTTAGTGGATCCCTTAAAATAGATAATAGTGAGCAGAATCTAAAAATCTACACATCCTTCCATCAAATTGAATGCCTTTAATTCTGTTTCCCTGTCCCCAAATAAAATACACAGAAACAGAGCATCCACTGAAGTCATCCCTCATTATATTTGAAATACCACTCTGAGCTCTGCCTTTTAATGACAAACGGGCTCCTGGTCTCTTTACTGAAGAACGGGAATGAAGCGCGTATGAAGCGACATGGTTTCAGAGCTCGGCATCGGCAGACCACGCCGGTTGTCCCTGGATGTCATCTCGCCTGTGGGTGTGGTTTATAAGTGCATTCTCCCCATCAGGCCAGTAATTAGATTCATTCCCTGGTCTTCTTCCAAGAAGCCCATCTCCAATGCATTACTTCTGTAGCGTCTCTGTACAGGTTTACGCCAAAGCCGGGCAGATCTGGTCAATCTGTCCGATCGCCGTGCAGCAATCGGACTCGAGCCACTGCAGCCGAAACGAGAGATCAATCTCTCACTCGCAGAAGTTCAGAGACTCGTAACTAAGGATACGATTTCACTCTGCCTAGTGTCTGGTAAAATTCCATGGGGCAGCTAGATAAGTTCTGAGCAGAGTGAGGTTTACACAGATGTTACAGGAAGCACCGGATCACCGCGGTGACAGTACAGCTGTGTCCCCCTAGCTCGGGGGGGGGGGGGGTGTGTTTGGCTTCAGGCCATCACAACAACACCTCAGCCAGTGTTCTCCAAAGCTCTCTGCAGGTACCTTCTCTGTCCTAGAATTAATTGTTCATGGAGGAAATTCTGATGGGAGGGTTACTATGGAAACCCACGGAGAAGTAAGCACGAAACCTCCCCCTCCTCAAAGCCGGGGCATCAGAATGTCGCCAATTAGAGGCAGTACAGCAGCAATGACACGCACATGGCTCTCCTTAACAAATGAGGACTGCGGTAATCACCTCAATGGCTGCAGTAGCACATCAGTTATGACCCTGTGTCGGGCCTTTGAACAGAAATAGGCTTTTAAAAAGGAAGGAAGAAGCACGCTTTGGGTAGCAGAGTTCTTGCAGATGCAGGCCGCTCGTACGCTTAATAGCCATGGTTAGACTGCAGGCTGAGATGGTCTGAGGGGGATTGCTGTTGTACCCTTGAATCGGGCAGCCGACCGTCATAAATAAATGCCTAGGTGTGTGAAGGTGTAATTGGCATTATGAATGCATGCCACCTAACAACCCNGTGTAATTGGCATTATGAATGCATGCCACCTAACAGCCCGTTTCCACACCAACACCTCATAGTGGCGAGAGCATCTTGTGACCTTTCCGGTAATCGGCGGTGTTTATTTTCGCTGCCGCGGGCCCCGGCGTGTGCGTGTTGGCGACCTCCTGAGTGATTCTCTGACTGAGGCTGTGAGAGATTCGCAGGTGACCCAGACTGACCCCCCCCCCCCTTGTGGGTGTGTGTCTCCTCGGCCTCCATCTTGTTTTTCTAGGTCACGCTGACGTGCGGGACAGAGACGGCTCTGAAGCGGGTGCGGGAGCCGACCAAATGCCAGTACATCATGGAGCTGTGGACCCCCAGCGCGTGTGAGCAGCAGCGGGAGGCGCGTAGGCGGGGGGTGCACAGTGAGCTCTAACTGTGGGCTGCTTCCTGACCACCCCCCGGTTATAAAACCCACCGCCTTAAAGGTGCCTTATTCTGGACTGAAAATTCCATGAGTTCATCAGGTCCCCTCTGCCTCTAAAATGAGGTGATAGTGTGCTTCCCTATTTAGCTGTTTGACGACATCCTCAGACAGACCCCCTTCTCGCTGTTTGCTCCTCCAGCGCCCTAACCCCTCTCCTAACCCCTCTCCTAACCCCCTACATCTCCATGGGATGTTCAGGGCAGGAGTGAAGGACCAGCACTCGCTGACACTGAAGTCGCTGGCAAAACTAGCGTGACGAGCCGTTCCAGAACATTCAACCAAGCATCTAGGCCATATTGCTTCCTTTCAGGTGTGAAGGATCATTGAATTTCATCGAATCACCCTGGATCTCACCCCTTTCAGCTGTGCAGAAACCTTGACGATACGATCTATTTTTGTAGATATATATTTGATGTTGATTCTAAATGTGGTTGTTTTAGCAGATTGGCTTGTACTCAAGACAGCAGTAATGCAGCTCAGCTAAACTCAGACCTGCCATGAACAAATGAATTTAATCAAATCAGTGTGGGTATATTATGGGTGGTTTTTACAGCCTGCCTTTTCATATTCAAGCTCTAAGCCCCTTACTTAGTTTTTCTTGGACGGTTTTCAAACACACTCTGTCCAGCCTTTCGATACTGGTTGACTGCAGCATCATCAGTCCACACTGATGGGTGTTTTGCACCTGATTTTCAGTTTAATACTGTTAAGTTAAATGGTCGAGGTTAATCACTTGCTGCTTGAACGCAGTTTTTTTTTTTTTTTTTTTTTGGTGTTGATTATAGAGTGTGAAGTGATTTAATAAAAATGTATCAACACTTAACTTTGCAAACCATTAAAACAAACATGCTTCCTAGCCAAGCCGGCTGGATTTTTTTTCGCTGCTCCGCTATGATTCCTGCATCTGTAGGTGCGCGTGCCGTGCGAGACGTGAAGCGCCGGTGTGCGCAGGTGTAGCTTTCGCGGCGCCAGGGATATGCCCCCCGTTCCTCCTCTGGGTTTTTGGCATCTGAAACAGCGGACAGCGCTAACACTGCAGATCGGACAGGCTAATGGGCTCACACTCAGCAGCTAAAGCGCTTTAGGCAGCTGCTTAGGAGGAATAGAGGAGAGGAGAGATTATTACCCTCGTCGTCCTTTTTGTGGGAGTTTACATAAATGCTGAAATCCCCTGGGCACCATTGCAGGCACTTCCTGTCATATTAAATGTAAAGGGTGTCTTGCTAGCCCCTATTTTTAAGTTAAGCTCTGCTTTCCATTGTCTCTCCCCCCCCCCCTCAAATGGCTGCATTTGAGGCTTTTTTGCTGTTAACCCCACCCCTCCAGAAAGGATGGGACTGAAGCCCGGAGCAGAGCCCCCCCCCCCTGGAGGTAGGCGTGGGCGACAACGCACGCGTGTCGAGTCACAATAGCCGAACAGAGCTGGTGAATCTGGTTTCCTGAGTCAGCGTTGGGAGAGGGGGAGAGGGAGAGAGAGAGAGAGAGAGAGAGCACTTTCCCAATGAAGATGGCAGCCCTATCGCTGGTCTCTGCCTACCCTCTGAGGAGCATGTTAGCTTTTCTGGGCAGAAAAAGCCTCTTTACCTTTACAAACATCCACCTTCCTATTGGATTACGTGACATTAAACCTGTTTTATGCTAAACCTGTTTTGATGTAATCTGACTGTGATCTGAATCCCACCGACATGCCATGCTGTAAAGGGGGCCTAATCTCTAAGCAGCTGTTTCACATGCTGTTAAAACTGCACACAGCTCGCAGTTCACGTGTGGTAACCGAACTGATACTCCTGTCTGAGTAATGCGCAAGAACCAAAAACATAGAAATGCTGGCTCTGCTGCAGCCTCTTGGCCAGTGTTGGGTCAGCTTGTCTCTTCTGCCACTGAGTGCGATCTGAGTGGTGGTGATGATGATGATGATGATGATGAAGGAGCATCCTCCCAGGGACGGGCTGTGGTTGCAATAGCTGCCCGGCTATAGTGATAGTGATCGATCCCTAACCCTCACTCCATGTTCCAGTCAGACTCGGAAGGATGTAGAGCAGCAAATTTGCAAGCTCATCTGTATAGAACTTTCTGGAAGCGGAACAACATGCCTGACCTCCTGACACGGACGCTCATGGAGGCTAGAGATGCCGTCTGTGGCATCTGCTTGTAATTGCGGCGATCAAAGACAGCCTCTACGCACCGAAAAAGGCAGCGGCATCCTTCACTGAACAACGGGGACACGTTCCCAAGATATTGTTCCGTCTCAGTGTATTGATGTCCGTGCTGTAAATCTGCACCGAGCCGACGTATCCAGCCTCTGCCATCTGTTCGCTAATATAAACAGATTGTTTCATAGTGTGGTTTGCACTCACTTGGCGGTGAATTTATTTCCTCGCGCTCTATAATGTTCCCTGAGATAAAAAACATACAGCCTTTCACTTTGATTTCAATATTTAGCCTGCGTCACACACCCCGATCCCCCCCTCCATCAGCCCCCCCCCCCAATCTGCCGCCTGCCTGGGCACCTGTCACATGATGCTGCTGGGTTATTTATTGCTCTGAGTGGGTCTGGAAATGTTGACGTCGAGAGCAAGTTTGAGAGTCTGTAAATTGCAGGTGAGTTTGGAGTGTTTAAAGAAAAAAAAAAAACCTAACATTATTTTAGCACAGACGTATATTAAAGTTTCTTCGGTACAAGCTAAAGAAAAAGCAAGGGGTTGAAGTATTAAAAACCATCAATTTTGGCCCGTCCTTGTGAAGTCACAAGGCGGCAGCCTTGTAGGGTGATGTCTCCGGCCTTGTGGGGGGGGCGGATGTACCTGTCACTTATGAGTCCATAACTGCGGTTCGAATGGCCCCTCTCGGGGGCTGTTTGACCCCCGGGGGAGGACTGGGGGGAGGGCTGTGGCAGATTTTTTCCCAGAGCTCATTAGGCTGACAGATGAGGCGTGACGATGACGGGACGAGCCACCGGACAAGGCGAACGAGAACTTGGAGGCGGGCAAGTCCTTCAGAGTGACTCTGCAAAGCCTCCAGTTCGCCACAGGATCCTGTTAATGAGCCAGAGTTAGTGAGTAATTACCGGGTATCAGCCTTATAAAAGACGCTGCTTAATTTTACATTGTGGTTTGCGCGTAGGTATACAATTAGGCCCGTATGCCGCTCTGTCTCCCTGCTGCGACAGTCGGTGCTCTGCGCGTCTGCGTGTGTAAAATGAGGAGCAGCCTGATAGGCCGCCACCCCCTCTGATAAGACCCTGCCCCCTTAGCAGAGCAGCTGGGCCAGTAGCCTTGCTTTAGTGGCACCGCTGGGCCCTTTGCTGAAGGTGCGTGACGCAGTAAATGCAGCGACTGCAGTGTCGCCGTGGCATGTGGATGTGCTGCAGGGCATGCTCTCCCCTGCACCTCACCCTTATTAAAAAAACATAAACCCTCATGATAATACGCCTAAAAAAAGCTTATAATAAATTTTAGGTTATTTTTTTTTGGGGGGGGGGGGGTTACATTCACCTAAAGGCTAGTTCCAGCCCCAGTGAATTGAGACTTGCCGTCTTAATATATTGCTGCAGCTGAAATGGGACAGCGTTCAGATGAACGAGTGAAATCCTGACTCCGCAGATCCATGAGGCGGAAAGTGAGCTTTGTTCCTATGCCTGACCAGGGGGTTAATCGTGGGTTTCCCATCTAGTGCACGTGAGATCTGCTCCTCTTGCGTACCGTCAGCCCCATGGGAGACGCAGGAGGATAGAACTTCTACATTACAGATGGTGGGAAGCACCCTGAGCAGTGGCACAAAGAAACATCAACCCTCTTCCAGAAAAAGCCACATTCCTGCCCATATGGGCTTTGTGCAATTTTGCACGCTGGTTGAGGGCGAATGGCTTTTTTTTCCCCAGACTGTATGCGGTTAGTGGAGATTAAAGTCCGGCGTTGCTGATAAGCGGCTGAACAGCTACGCGTACAGGCCTGAAGACGAGCCCTACGAGTAAGCAGTGTCAAATCCATGACGTTTCTGCTAATCCCTAACAAAAGCTCTCCTACGACGTGATAAATCGGGTGGGAAGCGCCGTGGATGGGGCTCATTGTCCCTCAGCACAGCCTACCGAAGACGGCTGTGCGTTTTCTCATTAATGAAAGTGGCCCCACTCTTCATGCTGTGGTTTATGGCTGTGCTTTTCAACCCAGTCCTTGGGAGACCCCCAGACAGTCCACATTTCCACTCCATCCCAGTTCCCAGCCAATCAGGAACACCAAAATACCCCGTTATAGGCTTGTTGGCAGCTGAGAGGAAGCAAAACCGTGGACCCTGAGGACTGGGTTGAGAAACGCTGGTTTATGGTACCTGCTCATTGCCGGTCACTGGCATCACCCTGACCTGCTGTGTCCCTCTAGAGCAGTGGTTCTCAATTCTGTTCCTGGCACCCTATTCCGAACCCTACTTTAATCAGCCTTCATTCCAGTCCCTAATAGGCTAATGATGAATGTGGTACGGTGGAAGCAGTGTGGGTTGGAATGAAAACATACTGGGGGGGGGGGAGACAGGATTGAGAACTACTGTTCTATAATGACCCCAATGCTGCTTATGCCAGGTCATTAGATTGAGTGCTTCAGAGTTATTATTTTTTAATAAAGTTGTTGCTAAAGCGCAAACACATACATACATAATAGGGGAAAGTTAGCTTTTATTTTTAGGGCCGATGTAGCCTGCAAATCTCGGTAATTACCAACCCATTCGAAGCCGGCTGATAAGACCTTAAACGCAGGTTTCAATCCTATCTCCTTTCCACAACCACACACACCTACGTGCATTTTAATGCGGTAATTATAGAATGAATTCTAAACACCGGCCCAAGAACACTTGTTACCGCATTTATTGCGAGACGCTATCTTTCTTCAGCATCAGTGGAATCCATACAGTAATTACATCCCTGCCGGCAGAACTGGCAGTATGGCAGCGGTAACAATGTTTATACGATATGTTCTTGCATAGAAACTAATTTTCTGCAGGACTCCAAAATGTCTAAACATTTGCATTTGTTCCCTTTTACCAGGGCCTATTCACTTCTTAATAATTTGCAAACTTTAATGACTTTTTATTGTTCGGTTACATTGCATAGCAATAAGAAAGCAAAATATGTCTCTCAAAAGTAATAGAATCCCCCCATAATACTATATATCTTACTGTTTATGTAATGGCTGTATGCAAGCGTCAGACAGAGTGTTCCTACCTGCAAAAGCCAGGCTCACGAAATCCAGTTTGCCTCCTTGTCCCTCCTGACATCGTTCGGTGTAACAGCTTCCTCCCTTCCTGCCTGAACCTGACAGACACACAGGAGCTACAGCCTTCCCCAAAGACCGCTCTCTCTGCCGGCAAGCGTCTGTAGACAGCTCTCCACGGGGACCACAGTGCCCAGCTACCACACCGGAGTAAGGCCGTCTGTCAGGCTAACCGCTCAGCCAAAAACGGACCTCGGAAGAGAATGTTAATCCTGGCACTTCAAAGTCATTTTCAGCACGTCTGCCATTTTCTTGTTTCCCCTCTCACGTATTCATTTAGGAGACTAGCTGTTTGCTCCAGAGGGCTATAAACAGCTAAAGAGTGTGTCCTTGTTTTGCCTCTGTTTACAGCAAATGGTCCCCACTGCCCAGTTTATCTGTTTAACATAAGCAGGCAGTCTAACTTGGGCTCAGTGACTGTCCCCTCAGGGACGCCTGGCAAACTCGGTGTCAACTTAGCTTTGGTTCCATCTCATCAGCCACTCAGGACCGCAACAGTATCCTCACGCTCAGTGTTCGCTGCGCCGCCATGACACACACGCACACGCGTTGATCTCTCTCGTTTATTTTATCCCTGCCTTGGTGTTATGACAACCGTGTAAACAAGTGGAGGTAAAACAAGGTTACGAGCACAGAAAAAAAACAACACGAGTCTGACTAAAGGAAGGCTCTTATTTTAGACAGCGGGTACCAGAGTACACAGCGCAAGCCTGTGCGACACAGGGAGAATGTTCCGCCTGCACACTGTGCAGAGAGATGGAATTGCACCCAGGAGGTGCGACGAAACTGAGCTTCCCCCGTGCCACAGTGCCACCCTTAGACTCCACCATAGATCTATATACCTAAAATACATTTTTATAAGCACTGAAACCAAACGAATGGCTCCAGTACTATCAGGCAAACAACAGCACTAGAAGCTTGAAGCTACCAACTGTCTACAGTGAAAGCTGGTTTTTCCAAACATGCTTGCTGGGATTGGTCAATATCGTTTTTCTTTGCAGCCTATGTCGTTACAGCATAACAGTACCATGCAAAAGCTCACGCCCTTCCTGCGAACGGAAGCCACTTTGGGATTACGCTCCTTGATAGTGCACATAATAAGATTGGTGGTAACTCAGTCAGAGGGGCAAACCTTATTAGCCAATGATGTTTTGAAATCAGTGAGTGGCATGAGAGGGGGCATTCCAGGAGCCAATCAGCTTTGTGATGCCGTCCCTGCAAACCACCAATGCTTGTGTGAGACCTTCCCCCAACGCTTCCACGTATGAATTCGGGCCGGAGTTTGTTTACGAAGCCCTAGCGTGGGGGGGAGGGCCCTCCAGCCGTGCGTCAGCAGACCTCAGCTCTGTTTTACCCCCACGGCACCTCACCCCGCTGTAGCC